GCGCGCGTGGTCATTTGCAATTTATTTATTATGCTTGGCTGTGAGGGTGTCAGGTGGTGACGACCTGGATACTCCAGTGTCTGTCTGTGCGGGACGGGACGGGACAGAACGAGACAGTGAACGAGACAGAGAAGGAGACAGCTAGAGAGAGAGGAGGGGGCTGGTGGACGTACAGTAAAGTAGCTAAAGTGCCTCTACTGATGGAGTTTATTGGTGAGGCATCGCAGGTGTGGGTGACTCACTGGTCTCCCCCTCTCCCCCAGTGCCTCTCACACCTGTGTATCTGAGGTTAGTGCCTAACCTACCCCCCCCTTTTCCCCCCTCTCATCCTGGCCCTGCTGGGGGTCGCGGGGAGAAGGGGGGCAGTGTCCCCCCACCCTTGTGTCTATCATTCATATTACATGCACCGGAAACAGCGATAATGCTTCCTGAGTACCACGCACTCTACCACAGGCGGCCCTTCCACAGACCAACCACAGGCGCCCCCACAACGTTTCAGGCCCACATTCCCCTGCTAGTCTGATCTCCAAGACTCTGAGAGCAGCTGTTGTCAGGCAAGAGTGGTCTCCATGCCTATGTGTAGCGCATGGCAGCCTCTGCGTGCTGCACGTCACAGACTGTGTCTGCGGGTTACATATGACACCCTATGTGTGTGTCACATACATACTGTGTACCACATGACAGTGTTATGTTGCTTTACACATCAACAATGACATTGGGAAGGTCAAGGAGAAGACATTACGTGGTAGTGAGAATTGGCTTGAGGGGAGAGATGAGCGCATGCGCATAAACCAAAAATTATTCACTTAGAATGCGCTTATGTCGAGCGCTAGTTCATGTGCCCCGACCTCCCTGAACATCTCTTGTACCAGTTGGGCTCACCATAGCCCGTGCTGCTTGGAATTTTTTGTTCCGACATCATGAGTCTCCGCTTTACCTGCTATCTAATATAAGTGATATTAGTGAGTGATAAGTGATATAAGTCTATTTTTCAGAGGTGGGCACATGCAAGGTGCGCGTGTGTTGAGAGAGAAGGAAGCACACGCAAGGTGCGCGTGTGTTGAGAGAGAAGGAAGCACACGCAAGGTGTGCGTGTGTTGAGAGAGAAGGAAGCACACGCAAGGTGCGCGTGTGTTGAGAGAGATAAGGAAGCACACGCAAGGTGTGCGTGTGTTGAGAGAGATAAGGAAGCACACGCAAGGTGTGCGTGTGTTGAGAGAGATAAGGAAGCACACGCAAGGTGTGCGTGTGTTGAGAGAGATAAGGAAGCACACGCAAGGTGTGCGTGTGTTGAGAGAGAAGGAAGCACACGCAAGGTGCGCGTGTGTTGAGAGAGATAAGGAAGCACACGCAAGGTGTGCGTGTGTTGAGAGAGAAGGAAGCACACGCAAGGTGTGCGTGTGTTGAGAGAGATAAGGAAGCACACGCAAGGTGTGCGTGTGTTGAGAGAGAGATAAGGAAGCACACGCAAGGTGTGCGTGTGTTGAGAGAGATAAGGAAGCACACGCAAGGTGTGCGTGTGTTTTGAGGGCAGGAAGCACGCCCGCAAGCTCTCACAAACTAACACTGCCCTTGACTGTCTCGCCTGACAATTAGGGTGAGTCATAAAGGACTTGAAAACTTCCTACAGGTGCCATAACCCTTAACAAGTGTGTGTGTACAGGTGTCGAGGGCCACACATGCCCTACTGACCCACCTCTCAACACACACACACACACACACACACACACACAGCCACACACACACACAGCCACACACACACACAGCCACACACACACACAGCCACACACACACACAGCCACACACACACACACAGCCACACACACACACACAGCCACACACACACACACAGCCACAGAGATATTAGAAAGAACTTTTTTAGTGTCAGAGTGGTTGACAAATGGAATGCATTAGGAAGTGATGTGGTGGAGGCTGACTCCATACACAGTTTCAAGTGTAGATATGATAGAGCCCAATAGGCTCAGGAACCTGTACACCTGTTGATTGACAGTTGAGAGGCGGGACCAAAGAGCCAGAGCTCAACCCCCGCAAGCACAACTAGGTGAGTACACACACACCAGCACTCGTAAGCATCCTCCCTCCACCTCAAAAACCAAAGGAAATTAAAACACACACAGAGCAGTGCTCCAAGAAGAGAGAGCCGAGCTGCGATGACCGAGGAAGCTGACCCTAACCTCGCTTGAAGACAGACGAGCTGGAGGACACATGATCCCATCGTACAAGATACTTATAAGTACGAGAGGACATGTTAGGAAGCTAGGCGCACACATGAGGCTCATACCACACAAAGTGCCGTGATAAACAAAACCCGGGCCCCAACCCTTCAGCATTCCATGTGATGCGGAGCTGTCCGCGTACATGGCTTATTACTCACCCACGGACGTAAACAATGACATGGTTGTACCACCCCAGACTGGCGCCGCTCGCGGGCTACTGTGTGCCGGTGACTGGCGCCACTCACAGGCTACTGTGCCAGTGACTGGCCACACGACCTTATGACTGTGGTGGGCCAGCTTCACAAGGGCGCCACACCCGCTACTCTTCAGAGACAACAACAGACCTTGGCCACTGTTGGCTTTCTCGCCTATGTTGAGATGATTTCGCGGCTTAGCGTCCCCGCGGCCCGGTCTTCGACCAGGCCTTCTTTTTGTTACACACCCCAGGTGGTGCTACAGGCTGTGGAGCAGGTGGTACAGCTCTCACCCCACCGGAAGGCACGCGACCACCAGCCAAGGCGCATGGGGGAGCTACCCTCAACACCACGCTTCCAGCGTCACTCATCCTCATCTCCTGTCCCACCCAACCCGTAATGTGACCCGTGAGGGAAGGGGAGGCGCGCCGTGGAGGCTCCCACGCCCCAGTACTCCCACGCTAACACCCCCCGGCGTCACTTCTTGACGGACTTCCCGCTCCACGCGCGACGGCACATTTGGGCCAAGAGTATTGCTTTAGCTTCTACAAATTGCAACAGTTTTCTCTAATCCCAGTGGAGCAGACAGCTCACCTCTCACGCGCACCGGCTGATCTCTGCTCGGGGTTACTCGCAGAGAATCTCGTAGATTATTGAAGAGACAAAGAGAAAGATTAACATCCATTTAATTTAACAGAAGAGCAAAGCACTCTCTCACAAAAATCGCGGCGAATCTCTCACTGTTTACACACGATGAAAGCTTACTAGACATGTCAAAATTTACGGTGTCAAAGACTGGTTTAGAGGGGTCCAGGAGCTGGAGCCCGTCTCCTTCGCTTACTCACCCGCTCGTCCAGACACATTAGAACATTAGAAACACATTAGAAACACCCGAGGTGTACCACAACCACCTTGATAAGTCATCAAGCGTGCAATATTTGCACGCAACAAAAATATTATCCACCCAAAAAGAGGAACATAAACATGCGTCTCCAAACAATACTGAGAGTAAAAAATATCTCTGTCCCTTTGAGATGTTTTTTATCGTCTCGATAAACGGACTTGAACTTGTCCCGTCTTCCCAGTACTTTGTCATATGACTTTTAAACTACTTCACCAACGTACAGCAAATATAAATAATTCACAAATCTAAACACCCAACCTAGGCCTATACACGAATTTATGTATAATAATTAAACTATGAAACAAAAACACATTTTTAATACAGTACGAGCCTAGCCCGAGGGATGAGTTGCTGAAGAGGAGCCTAGCCCGAGGGATGAGTTGCTGGACGAGCCTAGCCCGAGGGATGAGTTGCTGGACGAGCCTAGCCCGAGGGATGAGTTGCTCAAGACGAGCCTAGCCCGAGGGATGAGTTGCTCAAGACGAGCCTAGCCCGAGGGATGAGTTGCTCAAGACGAGCCTAGCCCGAGGGATGAGTTGCTCAAGACGAGCCTAGCCCGAGGGATGAGTTGCTCAAGACGATCCTAGCCCGAGGGATGAGTTGCTCAAGACGATCCTAGCCCGAGGGATGAGTTGCTCAAGACGAGCCTAGCCCGAGGGATGAGTTGCTCAAGACGATCCTAGCCCGAGGGATGAGTTGCTCAAGACGATCCTAGCCCGAGGGATGAGTTGCTCAAGACGATCCTAGCCCGAGGGATGAGTTGCTCAAGACGATCCTAGCCCGAGGGATGAGTTGCTCAAGACGATCCTAGCCTGAGGGATGAGTTGCTCAAGACGAGCCTAGCCCGAGGGATGAGTTGCTCAAGACGAGCCTAGCCCGAGGGATGAGTTGCTCAAGGTGATCCTAGCCTGAGGGATGAGTTGCTCAAGACGATCCTAGCCCGAGGGATGAGTTGCTCAAGACGAGCCTAGCCCGAGGGATGAGTTGCTCAAGGTGATCCTAGCCTGAGGGATGAGTTGCTCAAGACGATCCTAGCCTGAGGGATGAGTTGCTGGACGATCCTAGCCTGAGGGATGAGTTGCTGGACGAGCCTAGCTTCAGGGATGAGTTGCTCAATGATGGGCTGCGACTTCTGGAGGTGCGGTAAAATTGATCACATGAGCTAAGAATAAAGCTGATGACACAATGAGGCGCTGTGATGACGGCGACGCGGTAACAAATGGATGATGATAAAGATGGTGACTAGCGAGGAGCCACTGTCACCCTCTATACAGCTGTGAGGGGCCGAGGTACACACACATGCTGTACCGTACTCACCACAACACTGTACCACAAGGACATGCATATACAGGCCACGTGTGCCACTTGACCAATGAGGCTAACTACTGGATACATTACTACATATCCAAGGAGACCAATTCACGTGTACATCACCTGAAACACTGAGTAACAAGTATGAAATACAAGGTTGAAACTACAGGTGAACGTTGCTACAAGTACATTACTGGGGAGTGAAGTGCATACAGTGATCAGCTGTAACCCTTACTAGGTCCTTGGCAGCAACACAAGGCGTTCCCAACAATAATCTACAAGTGTAAGTTTGAGAATATTTACTTGGGAGAAAATGGGGGTGTTACCGGAGAGGGGAGTCTAGTGTAGACTTACCTGTGGCTGCGTCGACGCCTCGCTAGTCGCTGATGAAGCGGCCGAACTCACGGAGCGCGTGTCAACATCGTCGTGGTGGTGGTGGTGGTGGTTATTGTGGCCATTAGTGACGGGGGCGGAGGAACTGACAGGCTCTGGGGTGGACGGTAGGGCGGGAGCGTTGTCGTCGTCATCTTCGTCCTCCTCAACGATGACCTTGTGGTCTCTGACAGACGACTTTACGATCACGTTTGATTGGGTTCCCCGCACCACGATGTTCTTGCTCTTGTAGTACTTGTCCGCCTTGGGGTCGAGCACCAGCAGCCTCGTCTCGTTCTGCACCATCTTGATCCGCTGCACCACCTGGGGACAACACAAACATGACAGTCAATACCAACCTGAACACATATCCCGCTAAACACACACCCAAACTATGACGTTGGTACAACGTTCGACCCCACAAGTTTTAACACCACCTAGCCAGTTATAACAACCAATATAGCAAGTTGTAACAACGGTCTAATACGTCATAAACACGTTAAGCCAAGATGTAACAACTTTATTACAAGTTGTAACAAGCGGAAAAGAGAGACAGTTTCGGTTTGTGTTTCCAGGGCAGCACTATTAAAACATAAAACATTCACCCGAGGCACCTTCGTGTGACTGTGTGTGTATTTATTATTTGTGATTGCAAAATCGAGCTATTAGCTCTTGGACCCCGCCTTTCTGACCAATCTATTATGTCTACTACATACATGTCTAACACACACACACACACGTCCCCCAGGAAGCAGCTGTCTAACTCCCAGGTACCTATTCATGCTAGGTGAACAGGAGTATCAAGGGTGAAAGAAACTCTGCCCACTTGTCTGTCTCGGTCGGAAATCGAACCCGGGCCCTTAGGACTACGTTACCTCAAATCCTCCTCATGGCACCGGCACATTTTCCCAAAGAGAGAGATAAAGAATTTTAAAAACAAAACAGAACAGGAAACAATGGATAAATGAAGATTCAGGAAAGCCCTGGGGTTAATACGTTGAAACACGGACTCGGTGAAACAGCTACCAGGTAACCTAAGACCTGAGACCGCTGGGATGCTTCAAGCATACATCTTAAGACACACACGTACTTGCCTAGTTCTGAGTACGTTCGGTATATACGTGAATGAGTGAGTGGATATAAGTAGGAGCTGCGTAGTACGGGCCAACAGGCCTCTAGTTTTTTCTTTTATTATGACTAACTTTATCAAATCAACACGAAGTTCAGTAGAACTTCGGTTTCAACTCTTTTGACCATGTCGTAGCTCAGTCGATTAAGGCAGCGTCTGTGATGCTATTGGGCGCAGGTTCGAATCCTCGTTAAGGCCCTTGTGGATTTGTTCATTTATAAAATCAAGTTTGGTTAACACTGCCTTCAGTTTATTTATTGGATTGAATTAGTTTAGTCACGTTAGTAGTAGGCATCCATCAGTCTCAGGAGACTATAGAGTTGCGCTCTTATGTCTGCCTGGTCTGGAGTGGCCTCACCAGGGCGCAAAGCCAGGGTAGGTTGATTCGGGGAAGAAGCTGTTACCCAGGCAGCAGGTCCCCCCTCTCCACGGCGCGCTGAAAGTCTCCAATGGAAAGGCATACGCCAATACGATCGCTTCCAGCGCCGCCGCAGGAACTGTGAGTTCCGAGGATGACCTGGAAGTTGGTGAAGGGCACAAGGACCTCCAACCCGTTACTGCTCTCCAATAAGTGTTATGTCTTCCTCTACGTGTTAAGGGGTCGACGGGCCAGTGTTGCCATGTCTCCCCGCGTGGTTTGATCTTCACCTTAGTTCTGGTCCAATTTAATTTATACATTAAGAACAATAACGGGCAGAGGTCTGAATAACCTCGCTGTTATATTCGGACCCTGAACGAGAGAGGTGAAAGAAAATTTCTGGTCAAAATGCGACATAACATAATGAAGGCTTTACCCTGATCAGGCGAGCAACTATCACTTCAGGTACACAGCGGTGCAGCTGATGGAAGGATAACTTGGGAGAGAGCGGGATAAAAGTTACTGGGTGAAGTTAATTTAGTTCAGAGGAAAGTTGTCTGTGAGGAGTTCGCGTGACCTGAGGTCCAAGTCACTGGCCTCTTGCATCGAAGTTGCGCCAGGCATGTCTGAGGCTGCTTTGCAGCTCGGAGCTGTGGCAGAGTCGAGTATATATTCTATGGTTGTACTACACCCATCAGTCTCCTCACAGTTACTGTGTCTAAGGACCCCCAAAGATGGTAAACTATGCCTGGCCAGAATGATGCCACAGGAAGCTCCAGTGAAGGCTGACCCTTTCTTCCTTTTCTCCATTCCATAGCCATAGAGTTATGAAGGTTGTCAGGGCGTCAGGACACGAGATGGCAACAGACTGAGCGCGTACTTTTGTCTTATCGAGATCAGGATGTGGTATCCGCTCTCCACCACCGGTACCATCCCTCCCCGCCCCCCCCCCCCCAGCCACCACCGGCACCATCTCCCGATGAAATGTAAATTTGGTTAAGAAACTGAGGAAACATTTGTTACACAACGAAGTCACGATCGTGAAGGAGGATCAAGAAGGATGAGAGCAAGTTCTGCAACGGTCGCTGGGAGTCGCAATTCTTGTGTCACTCCTCCCACTCTTGAGAGAGGCCGTGGGGGTGGGTGGTGTCACACGCCCCCCACTCCTTAGAGGGGCTAGGGAGTGTCACACGCCCCCCCCCCCCACTCCTGAGAGAGGCCAGGAGGGACTGTGTCATGCCACCAATACTGGTGTTCTCGGTAACAGGCTACACAACACACAAGGATACATACCAAAGCACGAGACCCTTAATCCCCGTCCCAACTTCTCGCTGGAGCCTAGAGAAGCAGGAAAGGTGTGCTGCTGTGTCCTCAGCCACCTTCCCAAAGGTCCCGTCACGATGGGCCTCGGCACCTCTGCCACACTCCAACCTCTCTCCTCAAATAATACATCACCTTCCGACGCCCCCGTCTCCTACGGACTAACTACAATATACTATAAATCACAGTGGCTCACAAACAACTACGTTTTCTATGCTTAGGATAGTTTCGTGCGTTTTAATATCGTTATTTTTTTGTCCGTTGTGAAACAAATATTTCCTATTGCCATAGTAAAATTTTCCATGAAACACCAATATTCCCCCATTGGCATGGTAAAATTTTCCCAGAATAGTTTTGACAATTGTCGTGTCACACTGTCTGGAGAACATCATTCAGCATGAACAAATCCACAAGAGCCGTGACGAGGATTCGAACCTGCGTCCGAGAGCATCCCAGACGCTGCCTTAATCGACTGAGCTACATGGTATAAGATTTGATTTGATGACTGATGTTCAAATGATTTGTTCATTTGATACATCACGCTACTGTGATTTGTGTGTAATCATTCAGCATATTCAATCATACAGTCGCAAGCTTTGTTAATCCCAAGTAGCCTACATCCTCCACAGTCACAATAACGTGGCTAAAGTATGTTGACCAGACCACACACTAGAAGGTGAAGGGACAACGACGTTTCGGTCTGTCCTGGACCATTCTCAAGTCAACTTGAGACTGAGAATGGTCCAGGACGGACCGAGACGTCGTCGTACCTTCACCTTCTAGTGTGTCGTCTGGTCAATAAGATACCATCATATTTTACATCAAGACACCTCCCAGGCGTCACCTGACCCCGTGTGAAACAGCAAGTTTCTAAAATGAATTTGCAGGCAACAGGTGTGGGATATTGAATCATCTCGAGTGAACACAGTCTCAGTCGTTGAGAAACTCTGCATGTCGACCGCACTGAGTCGAGTCCACAGTCTTGACAAACCCAGCATAGTCTTTCTAGTTGGCTCAGTCTCCCCTTTCGCAAGATATCGTCCACTACCATCACTTAATTCCTCCCCTTCATCAAGGGTCCACAAGCGCACCTAGTAGCGATAACCAATCGCAAGGCCACACGCCCGTTTTTTTGTTTATCTTGTTTATGGGAAGATAAATGGGAGAACATTGACAGTTGATAAGCAAACGTCAACAACGCTCGGTGTGATAGATTGTCCGGAGACCCCATTATAGCCTAACGTGCTCCAAAAGCTATAAATCTCTTCGCTTGGACGTTAGAGAGGGTTCTTGATCCTTTTGGAGACTATGGCGTGGGCTGTTTTACTATTTACATCTATTTTTTTTACACTTTTACACTCCCCCCTCGGCACTACACACACACACAGCATTTGCACAATGGCTTCCAGACTCCGTTAAGCTCCAATTGTTGAGGTGTGGTGGTGATTACATCAGCTGGGCCCAGTCACCTTCCCAGACCTCCGCCAACCACAGTCACGCACCAACCTTCACCCCCCAAGGCCTGACCTGTATAAAATGATTAAGCCTGAACACTCTCACCCTTACACCTGCGCGCTCTCTCACGACAATACCGCCTAGGCTCTAACCCTTCATCAGCAGCCTCCTCTCACCTCTCAACATCTGCGCCTGGCATCCTCGCTCCTCGCCCTAGGCGTCCTGCACTCTCCCGCGTTACTTTTCCCGCTCACTTGTCACTTTACACCTGCAGCCTCGCCTCTCACCGCTCGCGCTCCCAGCACTCGGGGAAACACCAGGGACGGGTAGAAATAGCCTAAGCTACTCTATCCCTTTGAGGTGTATTAATTTCTTGTCTCAATAAACATACTTGAACTTTAAGGAAACACCAGCCCTGTATACCAGTTTCATTCCACCATTCGTCCCCTTCTGCCACTTGAGTTAGATATCTTTACTGATCAAGTTAGACAATCTTGGCTGTTTGGTCCGGGCGGCGTGAGGATGCTCAGGTATTTTAACAACTTAACAAATTATTATACATATAGCAACTTGGTCGAACGTATAAAAATTGACACGAATAAACAAAAAATAATACTTGAAATGACATGCTAAAACCTGGAACAGTAACTATGCAATCTAACCCGTCGAGGGCCAAACTGTGCAATCCTGGGCCTTATATACGACATCGTAGGCCTTGTTAAAGTACATACATGTACTATACAAGGCCTGAAAGGTCAGATTTCGTTGTTGCATACCTTCTCCTGCCTTTCACACAATCAATAGTACATAGCGTGAACTTTCGTGGTTGCAACCATCCATTTTTGGACGTTCGACAAAGCTACTGTAAATTCAATTATTTTTGGAGTATGGTTTAAATATTAATGCCTTTCGTTCTCCATCTTCCAGGGTTTAAACCACTCCGTACATGTGGTTCAGTACCCTCCCTACGCCCTCTTTGTTCTGGGGAAAGGGGGGGGGGGTAGTGACAATTTATAATAAAGACGTTTAAATGAGCTCATTTCGCTTGTCACCTCTACAGTA